CTATGCAGAAATAGAAGTATAATGATGTACACCTGAAATTTATACAATGTTATAAACCAATGTTACTGCAATAAACAAAAAATTTTAAAAAAAAGAAAAGAAAAGAAAATGGAAGAGTTCATTAAAAAAAAAGAAATTCTTTGAGAAATATCTGACTCAATTAGGAAATGCGACATAAGGATTATAGGTATTCCAGAGGGAGAAGAGTGGGAGAAAGGAACAGAGAGCTTGTTCAAAGAAATAATAGCTGAGAACTTCTCAAACCTGGAGAAGGAACTGGACTTACAAGTATATGAAACCAACAGAACTCCTAATTATATCAATGCAAAAAGACTTTCTCCAAGGCATACAATAGTAAAACTGGCAAAAGTCAATGACAAAGAAAAAATATTAAGGGCAGCAAAGCAGAAGAGAATAATCTACAAAGGAACCCCTGTCAGGCTTTCAGCGGCTTTCTCAGCAAAAACCTTACAGGCTAGGAGAGACTGGAATGATATACTCAAAATACTGAAAGACAAGAACTTCCAGTCAAGAATACTCTATCCAGTCAAACTATCCTTCAGATACAATGGAGAAATAAAAACTTTCCCAGATAAACAAAAGCTGAGGGATTTCATCACCACTAGACCTCCCTTACAAGAAATGATCAAGGATGCCCTCATACCTAAAACAAAAAGGCAGAGGTTTACAAACCCTTGAGCAAGGAGATAAATAGACAGACAAAATCAGAAAATTGCAGCTCTCATCAGAACAGGTTAGCAAACACTTAATTATAACATTAAAAATAAAGGGAACGAAAGCATCAAAAATAACTAGAAACACTTCATTTTAATCACAAACTCACAACACAAAATGGAATAATTTGTGACAACAATAACTTAGATGGAAAAGAGGAAAGAGATGGAACCTACTTGGGCTAATGGAGATAACATGCTATCAGAAAATGGACTATCTCATGTACGAGATCTTTTATACAAACCACATGGTAACCACTAAACAAAAACTCAGGGCAGAGACACAAATCATAAATAAAGAGAAAACTACCAAACTGAAATGGCAGTCAGAAATACAAGGGAAGAGAAAGAAGGGAAATATAGAACATCCAGAAAACAAGAGATAAAATGGTAGTATTAAGCCCTCATATATCAATAATCACTCTAAATGCAAATGGATTGAATTCTCCAATCAAAAGACACAGAGTGGCTGGATGGATTAAAAAACAAGATGCAACAATATGCTGCCTCCAGGAAACACATCTCAGCTAAGACAAACACAGGCTCAGAGTGAAGGGATAGAAGACGATACTCCAAGCAAATGGCAAGCAAAAGAAAGCAGACGTTGCCATACTTATACCAGACAAAGCAGACTTCAAGATAAAAAAGGCAATGACAGACAAAAAGAGACAGTATATAATGATAAAAGGGACACTCCACCAAGAGGACATAACACTTATGAATATATATGCACCTAACACAGGAGCACCCAAGTTATAACGCAACTGTTAACAGACGTAAGGGGAGAAATTAACAGCAACGCAATAATAGTAGGAGACCTCAACACCCCACTTACATCAATGGATAGATCATCCAGACAGAAAGTCAACAAGGAAATAGTGGCCTTAAATGAAAAACTAGACCAGTTGGGTTTAATAGATATATATAGAACATTCCATACAAAAACAGCAGAATACACATTATTCTCAAGTGCACATGGAACATTCTCAAAGATAGACCATATGTTGGGAAACAAGCCAAGCCTCAATAAATTCAAGATGATTGACATCATATCAAGCATCTTTTCTGACCACAATACTATGAAACTAGAAATCAACTACAAGAAAAAAAATGGGAAAGCCACAAATATGTGGAGACTAAACAACATGCTAGTGAACAACCATTGGATCAATGAAGAAATCAAAGGAGAAATAAAAAAATACCTGGAAACAAATGAAAATGAAAATACATCATATCAACTCTTACCGGATGCAGGAAAAGTGGTTCTAAGAGGGAAAATCATATATTTGACAAGGGGTTGATTTCCAAAATATATAAAGAACTCATACAACTCAACAACAAAAAAACAAACAACCAGATCAAAAAACGGGCAGAGAATATGAACAGACATTTTTCCAAAGAAGATATACAGACGGCCAACAGGCACATGAAAAAATGTTCAACATCACTAATCATTAGGGAAATGCAAATAAAAACTACAATGAGATATCATCTTACACCTGTCAGAATGGCTATAATTACGAAGACAAAAAATAACAAATGTAGGAGAGGATGTGGAGAAAAGGGCACCCTCATACACTGCTGGTAGGAACGCAAACTGGTGCAGCCACTATGGAAAACAGTATGGAGATGTCTCAAAAAATTAAAAATAGAAATGCCATATGATCCAGCTATCCCACTACTGGGTATTTATCCAAAGAACTTGAAATCAACAATTCAAAGAGATTTATGCACCCCTATGTTCACTGCAGCATTATTCACAATAGCCAAGATGTGGAAGCAACCCAAGTGTCCCTCAACTGATGAATGGATAGAGAAGATGTGGTATACATATACAATGGAATACTACTCAGCCATAAAAAAGACAAAACCATCCCATTTGCAAGAACATGAATGGACCTTGAGGGTATTATGTTAAGTGAAATAAGCCAGAGAAAGACAAACACCACATGATTTCACTCTTATGTGGAAGACAAACACATGGATAAAGAGAACAGATTAGTGGCTACCAGAGGGGAGAGGGGTTGTGGGGGGGCCAAAGGGGTAAAGGGGCATATATATATATATGGTGACCGATAAAATTAGACTATTGGTGGTGAGCACAGTGCAATCTATACAGAAAGCGATAAATAATAATGTACACCTGAAATTACACGATCTTATAAATCATTATGACTTCAATAAAATAACTGGAAAAAAATTCTCTCAAGGAAATGCAGAAATCCTATACTATTAGAGAAACATGACAATATCCACAGAGGTCATACAGGTGACATAAACGTGTAAATAAATGGGCAGAGTATAGGAGTGATGGGCCCTGGGGAGGAATTAGAAAATAGCTGGCCTGCTTAAAGGCTTCAAAACTCCAGGTGAAAAAACAAAACAAAACAAAACTGCTTCAGGCCAACAGCATACATCCAGAGTAGATGAGTATATCTCACCACGATCAGCAACTAGTTCATGACCTTAAGTCAGAAGTGGGCACCAACCCATCTCTGCAGGTAGTCATCTCCATGAGTAGACAGAATTCTATAACATGGAAAAACAGCTCTAGAAAACAAACTCTTAAAAGAGCTCCATAAGTGAGTCTAATCAGTGCCTCCAGGGAAGGCAGCATTTACAATCTCTTCCCACCACACAGAATGGAGGCTTCCTCCACACATGTGAATTTCACGGTATTGCCACCTTGACCTTCCCTGCCACATCAACCATGGTCCCCTTCATGCACCTCTGAGTTGCCATCACCCACTGCCTGTAACAACAAAGCTCTCCATCTCCAAGCCATAACCAGACTCGGCCCTCCCTCATCTCATGGGTGCTTCTCAGACATATTTCCAGTACAGGTGGAGCACTTGGTGGAGGATCCTCTGTCCCAGCCATTCTTCCTCGAAAGGTGCCCTGTGTCCCTAAACACGCAGTTCTCTGGGAATGGATGACCACACAGTCGTCGTGAAGGAGACAGCTGAGCCATCGAGCTGCTGTAGGGTGTGGAGAGTGAAGACAAAGTGCGAGCACAGACTCTACCTGTGAGCAGGCACCTTTAGGGCCAGGCTCTGTAACCCTGACAGACAACCAGACACCCTCCTCTACAGACTGACTCACCACATAAGCCTCCCTAAGACAGATCAAGGACTCTGACACGACACCTGCCTTGTGAAACAGACGGGCTTTGTGATGCAGTCAGCTGGCCTGGTTCCGTCCTCTGTGAGGCGGACAGGACGAGGCATAGCACTGGGAGTCATTAGGCACCAGACCCTGAACACCTAGAGAGAGGGATGGTTGGTCTCCTCATGCCAATGAGGTTTAGACCATGTTGAGCCCTACTTTTCTTTATGGCTCCATCTTCATTATTGTCCTATTCATCTGGCAAGTGAAAAGGAGTTATGATGGATTAAGGCTGGAACCTAAAAGGAGCTGCTGCCGGGTAAGGAAATACTATGACCACGATTTAACTAATGAAGCCTCAGATAAGAAGCTTTTAATATCACAGAGTCTCTCCTTTTACCCTTTGCCCTCCCCCAATTTTATACCATGCATTCAGTGACTCTTACATGGCACTTCTCTTATAGAGCCTAGAAATAATTCCTTACCAGGCCATCCCTGCAGTGTATTCTAACTGAAAAATCAAGACCCTCTCTATCAGGCTTGGGCTGAGACCCAGATGAAATGGAATCTACTCACAGGATCTCAGAAGACCTCCCAATACAGGGGATCTTTCTGGTTGGTGGTCCAGTAAGGCATTTGTTAGCAGGAGTCCTTTGGCTTTAGACCCATACACCCAATAATCTGCTCCACTCTTTCTCCTGTTTCATCATGAGCCTCAAGCAGAACTTCTCCTGGGAAATAAGTGGGAAGTAGAGCGTATGGAGGAGCCTCAAAATGAATCAGAAGTAAGCAGGGAAGAGAAATGTTGGGGTGAGAATAGGTGGAGTATGGAAAGGAAGGTTAGGAAAGTCAGTAAAATACAGACAGACATTTAGAAAAGGATGGGGAAATATATATTTTCCTTTGTCTTATTTGGACATGAAAAAGAAAATCGTGTGCCAGCTTCACATTCTAACTTTTCTGTCTTGAAGCATCATCGAAAAGTCAGACAAAAGGCTAGAGATGCAGCATCAAGAGGTAAAGTCCCATTCTCTGCTCTGACCCCTCCACCGTGGGCGCCGTTCCCATGCATCATGTGCCTCTATGGCCCCTGGTGCCAGGACCCAGTGCTCTCACCACTGAAGTTTCCCACTCCCCAAGTTGACAAATTCTCCCAGAAGACTTTCCTGGGTGGGATATCAGAGCCCGGGAATCTTCCAAATTCTCCACCTTATCCCCAGAAACGAAAAACGAGGAAGTAGGGCAGAAGTACTTAGCTGTGTATTTACCACTTTTATGACCCTATGGAAGTCACTTCATCTCTCAGACTTGTTATCCAGGAAATGGGCATCTGATGATCCTGCCTCACTCACAGTGTGCTGGTGATGATCAGATGAGATTAGGTCCGGGACAGCACATCATAACTGGTTAAGGTGTACACAGACGTGCCTTAGAGCATTGACTGTTGGGGTTGCCAGTCTCCTCTGATTCAAAGGCCTTCAGCTTCCTATAGGATGTCCCTGAATCCTCTCCCCTTCCATGTAACACTGTCTCCCGGTTTCTCAGCAAGGAGATGTTCCCAGGAAGAAGCTGAGAAGCCGTGGGAGCTGCTTTCTGTCATGAAAAGGTGATCTCTTGCTCTTTGCAGTCTCCCAACTCCCAGCCTGGCCTGTGATGACTTCTCTGCTTGGTCGGGGACAGGGATGAGGAGGGGGATAATGACCAGGAGGGAGCCAGACACAACAGAGGCTGGAGCACTGGTTGAGAGGGTTCCCTGGGCAGAAGGGGATCACACGTCTCAGGAGGGGAGCCTCTCCCAGTTCTGCTCGGACTAGGCTCACAGTGGTCCTGGAATTCAGGATTGACTAGTGTATAGTGCATAAAATACTCTACACGGCTTTGACTCAGACACAAGACAAGTTATCCAGTCAAGAGAATGGATAAATAAGTGCATAAATAAGTCATCATCTTTATATTCTCTTTTCAGCTACACTCTTTCAAGAGTAGACACCTCGGAGTCTGTCTGGACTCTGTTGACATTACCTCCTCTGGCTCTGTCTTCAGGGAGGCCAGTTCCTAGGACAGCCCTGAGATAGGAGCCTGTCATCTTCTCCTCTTCTTAAGATCTCTAGAGAGTGGGACAGGCTCCAAAGAGATGTTGTGTGCACACCATAGTCCCCAGAATGCCGAGTTCCCACAAGGACCTCATGTTCCACAGTTTGGAAATACTGAATACCAGGCTGTGGCCTTCTTAGCTCCAAATGATACTGACTCCAGATTCTACCCAGTGATGTCCCATCAACTAACCATTGGCTACCCATCTGTCTGGTACCTTATCCTAGTTCACCTTCTCAACACAGGTCAGCAGAGAACTCACCCCACCTCTCTAATGGCCCTTGGCTCCCCTGGCTTGTCTGAGACCTTGCCCAACAGGCCCCAGAACCTCAGCCCCGCCCACCTTGACTTGCCAAATGGCATTTTCCTGGGGAGAAAAGTAGATGGCTAAACACCCAGGAGTGCAGGCCCCAGGGCTTACAGGACTACAGGAGGGCAGTGCCAATCTCCAGGCCACACACTTCCAAAGAGGCAGATGTCACTCCATCAGTAACAGCTGTCATGTTTCCCTTACCAGCCAGAGCTGGCTTCCTCGGGAGGGAAGTGTGCGGAGGCTCCTGTGTGCAGATCCCTGCTGCCAAATCTGCAATGCCGTGGCTCTGGAGATTCAGCAGTTGCTGGTGGGTGAGAACACCTTGATCTCTTCCACTTCTTCGAGGCCATCACAGGGCATATCTTCCTTAGAGGTGTTGTCCATGTCTACTGTGTCTTTTGAGCAGAGTCTGGAGCATCGTTCCCCACAATCCAAAGACCTTTCACTTCCACCTCCAACCCCCACAGTGTCACAATTAACGGACCAGAGATCCTTAACACAGTCAGCTGCCCAGTCTGCAGGTGAGGTCAGCCTCCACGATTACTGGGCTGAACACCTCCAGCTAGGGCAGGAATTTCAAGTGCCAGACATGCCCACAGGCCCAAAGACGATCTCTTCTTCAAGGTGGGAGGAGCCTAGGATCCCAGGGAACCAGCAGGAGATGATGCAGAGCAACCCCAGCCTCATCTATGGGAACCAAGGTCAGCAGCCCTTGAATTCCCAGGTCTCTCTGCTGACTCAGAATGGAGAAATCACCACCCTGACACACCCTCTGGCCTTGCATATGGTCACTGTCCTCCCTGCCCACCTGCCATTCCTCAGTCCTGAAGTCCTGAGGTTTCTTGAGGTACATGTAAAGAAATGGATGCATTTCCAGAGGTGGGGGCTCCCCAGACGTGTGGA